TTTTCCATAGGCAATATTGAGCCTTCACTATTGAATCTTGATGAGTATCAGAAGTCCCTGAGTAACATAATGGTAAACAAAAAATTGGCAGTCTGAACTCACCCAGAGCTCTGGCCATCTAATTCTGAAAACCTGTACATTGTTTGTGATACTAATATCAGTTGGTCAATAAACTTAACTACTATAAAATTCTGATACACAAAACAAAACAAAAAACAAACCCCCAAAACCCAAAAAATAAACTCCAGAGAGATTTTTCTAATCTAACAGACAGAGGAAGATACTGAGTAACAGAAACTTACAAAATCAGGCTTGTGACCTTTGACTATCATATTATAACTTCAAAAACAGATGTTATTTTTTTCCCCTTGGATGAAGCTGAACCACATATCAACAAAGTACACCCTTTAAATTGCTTTTCAGTGGAAGAAATAAGGGCTGCAAAAAATTGCTGAAATTTGCAAAATGCATGGATAAATTATTGGGTACAGTTTAGGATAATGAGAGATGAAAAGTTGTCCCTAGTGGATATCATTTAGGACAATGAGGGAAGTAAAACTGATAGAAAACTACTTGCAGCTCCATTACAAAGGCTGTAAAAGTGAGTTAAGATTTTAAGGATAAAGCAGATAGTTATAAAGTTATATTCTATTATGTGCATGTTATTAAAAAAAGTTAATTAATGTCTAAAAGCAGTATGTATTAGGAGAGTGAAACTCACTAATTTTCTGGATATTTAAGTGGAGCAAAATAGTTCTTATAGTAAATAAAGTAAGTTTAATTATCCATCATGATGATGTTGTTGTTGTCAAGTGCTATATTCATAGATGACCAATAGCGACTCTATGAACAAAAGTCTTGAACACAAAACTTTCTTCTTTTCTCCAAGTTCATCAAGTTTCTGGATGCAAGCTTTTTTGGAAGTGATGCCACTCCTGTTTCCAAGCCTCGTTATTTAAGAGATCCACCAAAACCAGCCTTTTTAAAGGTGAGGCCAAATCCAATCAGCTCACACCCTGTTGCAAGCAAGAGCCACACCTAGTCTCAACCCCAAACCAGAAAACACACCTTTGCAAAATCAAGCCATTCCGCTCATCTTCCCTGACTGGAAATAGGCCCAGACTAGCAGCCAAAAGCCTTAGCTTCTTATAAAATATTCAGGAATCATGTAACTTATGAACTTCAGTGATTGGGTGGCTATTAATATTTGGAAACAAGGCTAAGCTGATTATATGATGTGTGTTTTAAACAATTATGTATTCAAATGCATTCCTAGAAAGGAATTTCTTTAATGTTATTTGATATTTCATAAGTTAATAAAATATTCATAGAAAAACTACATTATTTTTATGTTTTGCTAATATATTATCTATCAGGTTCATATTTGCTAAGACCTACAATAACTTACAGTCAAAATAAATAATTATTTTAAATACAAAGATCTGTACTAAATTTAGTGTTCAATTTTGTCAGTTTCTGGCTAGGTCTTAACACACGCACACACACACATGCACACAGAATCAGCAGTACATAGATTATATATGAATTAATCAGTGAGTGAATAAATAAACTGCAAATTATTTGTATCTCATTTATTCTAAAGATTTTTCAGAGAAACTTATTTGGGAATAATTTCAGTCTGGCTTCTAAAAAAAGACATTCCTACTACTATTCAAACTAATTTAATTTCCATGCATAATTTTATTATTAAAAGAGGAGTAGAAGATTTTATCTAGATTCCAGAGGTATTGACACCACACTTTTAAAGTCTCATTACCAGTCTTGATTATAGTTGTTGTCAGCTGGGATCAATTCATCCCTCAGCTCTCAGAAACTTCACGCACAAGGCAACAAAAGTTTGAAGGATCAGATAATTGTGACTCATGGGGGTATCATGAGCTGAGTTTCAGAAGTAGACCAGCAAACCTTTCTCCTACTTAATGACAGGGAGTCACACTAGAACAAGAATACCACTTTTGCCCTTCTTTAACACTATAGTTCAATCCTTACGTGTCTGTCTTTTTCTTCTCATCTTCTAGGGCTCTTAATGTGAGCTGCAGCCTGTCTGTGAGGATTTCCAGTTCCTGGGTGAGTTTGTACTCCTCTCTGAATTGTTCTCCTAAAAGGACAAGGTCCCGAGTAGCATCGTGTAGAGGGATGTCACTCAAGTAGAGCCCCCTCCTTGTCAAATCATCCAGGTTCATCACACTGTTATACAAAGAAAAGCAGACAAAATTAGTACCACTTGACCTATGTGACAATAGGAAGCCTTCTTACTGCTAAGGAGTATAATCCTACCACCTTATTTCATTCAAAAACTCAGCCTAAAAAAAATTGCATGTGGAAAACTTTATGAAGACTATGACTTTATTCTCTTAAACTTGAAATTTATTTTTCCAAATTATACTTTTAGTACCATTTTTCTAATGTAAAAAAAATTGTCCTATGAAACATACTCACAATTTTAATGAAAGGTTGATATATTTTATCCATTGTTTCCTTGTTTCTTTTGGGAAAAAAACCAATTTTATCTATAATAATAGTGTTTCCATAGAAAACCTGTTTTTTTTCCAGTTTGGGAAGATGAGTGGAGCAGCTGGATTCTACAAAGGCGTGTTTTCTGGTTTTGGTTGAGGCTTACGTGTAGGATGTTTGCTCATAATTTGCTCACAATTTGAGCTGACTGGATTTGGGCTCATAGTTAAAAAGGCATTTGGTTGCCAGTTGGGGGCTGGAATCCAGTTTGGGAAGATGTGTGGAGCTCCCAGATTAAAACAGTCTGGGAAGTAGTAGTGGCATCCACTTCGGAAATAGATTGCCTCTGGAAACTCTATGAACTTGGATTAACAACGAAAATGATACATGAGTTCAGGTCTTTCATTCATAGGGTTGCTATGAGTCATCTTTGACTCAAAGGCAATCAACAAAAACAAAAACAACAATAGAAAACCTAGTTCATTTTTCATTTATTGAGTTTGTGAATCTTGTAACTGTCTGTTTTTCATAATGGTTTAAAGTTTACAGTAAGATCTATAATGTGTCTTCCACATGTGTATTGTGTGTGTAAGACCCAAAAATAATATATTTTAATATACATTCTACACATTACTCATACTCCTAAGCTCAGCTTTTTTCTACCACTCTTATCTGCTTTGATTAATTTTCATATTTGATTGAAACATTATTTGGGCTTGCTGAATTTTAATCACTTTTGTAACTTACCTTAGGTCACTTCTGAAATGGTATGCCTTTGGTGTACCCATAGGGAGACGAACTACTAACTAAAAGGCAGAGCTTCCAGGACAATTCAAATCCACTAGCTGCTCTGAGGAAGAAAGATGGGCAGTCTCCTCCTGTGCAGTTTATATCCTCAGAAAACTTACTGGAAGGTGAACTGAGAGTCAGTTCTCACTTGATGACAAGAGTTGAGTAGCGAATTCAGTAAAGATCTTTAATTACAAGACTGGCTGGTTGTTTTTTGTTTTCGTTTTTGTTTTTCAGTTTACTTATTTACTAAAATTAATTAAGATTATATTGTTGGCTTGAATTTTTTAAATTGAAAGTAATTACTTTTGGGAATTCACAATAATGTTGTTGTCATTATACGCCATTGAGTCGCATGTGACTCAGCAACCGTAGGTACACTAGCTCTGAACCCTGCCCTATCCTGGGTCAATCTTACCACTTCTGAAAGACCTAATCCCATTTCTCCGGTCACTGAGTCAATCCATCTTATTCTGGTTCTTCCTCTCTTGCACTGTCCCTCCACCCTTGCAAGCATGACGTGCCTTTCCAAGGACTGGTCCCTCCTGGCCACGGGCCCAAAATATGAGGCCACAGATCCTCAAAATCCTTGCACCAGGCTTCCTTGACAGTCTCTGACTTTCCTACATTCATACTTCTCACATTCCACATTCTAATCAATAATGTCTGGTTGCAACTATTCTTCCTGCTTTGTGATTCCCAGTGAGGAGGTTCTGCCTCTGGTGCCGTATCTGCTAGTCTAATCTAAATGTGCTCTATTATACATAGGATTTCCTGAGGCCTGCTATTATACAATTAAAGATGTGTCATTTTACCAAGGAATCTTGGATAAATAAAAGATTTCCATCCAATGTACTGTCCACCAAGGTAAAAATTATAATCGGGATAAAGAAAAATAATCAGAATCTACTCATGAAGTGCATTACTCTCTTCAGATTGATTTTGTCAAAATGTGTATGCAAGTTAAAGTCCATTTGCAGGAATCAACCCATGTGTAAAAGGGCTACTAGCCAAATCCCAATACATTAGAGCTGGTACAGATTTGTTTTTATATTCTACATGATGCATCTTTTGCAGGTACAAAACTACAGAATTACATAATCCAAGATTAGATAGTTCATTATCTAATGGTCTAAAAACCCAACAAATTGATTGAGGCATAACAAGTAAAATAACAAGATTTCTTCTGAACTTATTAACATATAGTCAGTGAGACTATTTTTGTTGTCCAAACCAAAAACCAAGTCCACTACTATCTAGTCAAGTCAGATTCATAGTATCTCTGCATAGGGTTTCTTAAATTATAAATCTTAACAGAGAATTATCCATCTTTCTCCAGTGTTGTTGCTGATGGACTTGAAATGCCAACCTTTTAGTTTTGGAGCACTACACTTGCAGTTCTCCTCCTCAACTCTTGTTATAGAGAGATGTTTTTAAAAGTTGTATAATAATAATTAATTTCAGAGTATGTTCATGGAATTTCAAGAAATTATCCTGAATTCCTTTGTTAGCTAAAGACAGGTAATTTAAAACAATTATGAATCAAAAAGTTGATACCTTGGTGAGCACAGAAATAGTATGCTATCTGCTTCTGGTAAGTAGATCATTTGACCCTTGAGCCGTAGGCAGCTGATCTCAGTTCCAGTCAATTCATCTTCACATTCTAAGGTCTCAACATCCAACAATCCTTCCTTGAAGAGGTAAGACATAATCATTAAATAATGTGTTCCTCTTTATATCAACAATTCAGCAAAAAGAAGGGCACGAACTTCATTTTAAACCAAACAACTCAGAGAATAAGTGCTTCAACTAGAACAGGAAAAGGCATTTCCCCAGTTCTGCCAGAGAGCACTGCCAGATAACACTGCAGAAAAGGAAGGAAATAAAAACTTAAATATGATTAAAGATATATAGATAGATATAGATATAGATATGCTTTAGCAGCATTATTCACAATAGCAAAAAATTGGAAACAGCCCAAATGCCAATCAACAAACAGAAAAATTGTAGTACATTCACCCAATGGAATATTACGAGGCACTAAAGAATTATTTAACAAAATACTATATAACATGAAAGAGTCTAGAGAACATTATGCTGAGTGAAGTAACTCAGACACGTAAGAACAAATACTGCATAAGACCACTATTGTAAAAGCAGGAAGATATCTGAGCATGATATGTATAATTGCTCAAAAGGGCAAGGGAAAGGAGAAAAGATGGAGCAGAACAGCAGAAAACCACCTGGATAACAGAGACTGATGAGCGGAGAAGGGTGAAGGAGTGGGAAAGGTTCAACAGAAGCTTGCAAAGGTTGGCTGATAAAAGGCATAGGTCAATGGTAATTAATTATATAAAATATCTATGAGTTGTATAAAACACAACATACATGAGTGAACATAATGTATATGAATGATTTATAAAACTCAAAGTACATGTACTAAACATGATGTATATGACTGACTATAATCAAACCAATAAACAATTTTAAAAAATCACAACAAATGAGAAATAAAACCATTTGGAAGTACTCACTGAAAAAGAAAATAAAGGAGAACGGTCCCTTTTGAACCCAGAAATAATAGAATATTAGCTGTACTACTGTGTTTATATGTATTTAGTAACACCTCTTTTCGTCATTGTCTAATGTGACTCTAAGTCACGTTAAAGTGTCTCTCACTCTTAGCTCTGCATTCATACATTCATAGTGTAGCTGATAGTACTCCACTCCATGTTGCCGAAGTTACCTCCAAATCACCTCAAATTTCCTCCGTGCCTTACTGATTTACATTAAATGAAATAACATAAGGATTACCTTGCTTCTTAACACAAAAACTGTATTGATGTGTGAGAGAATCCCATGGAAACTAATGTCAATATGAGGACGAACCAGAGAGAAGACTGACAAAAGGCTGCAATTTCCTGGCTGAAGCTGAAATGTACATAGAAAGAAAAGGACAGCTTTTTAGTTCAAATAATAGTTAGAAACTGATGTAAAATACTAGATTAAAGCAAATTATAATAAAATCATAATTATTCTCTAGATAATTTTAATAAGGACACATGTCTTCACCTATGCAACTCATTGGTTAAATGCACATGAACCAATTGTATGAACATGCAAGCTAATGTGGATTCAAATGACAAATGTCAAATTTTATAGTTGTTGTTGTTGTTGTTGTTATGTGCTGTCGAGTCGTTTGCGACT